GTTATCTTTCTCCCTGGAAAAGTACTTGGACTTATGTGCCAGTTAACCTTTACGTCAGTTGAAGAAAAGCTCATAATGTGTAGAGTCCACTTTCTGCTAACCTCAGATATTGTTACAAACATAGTTGTAAGTAATGAAGTGATAGATTTTTGCCTCCTTTTTATTCTTTTTTTTGACAGGCAGAGTGGACAGTGAGAGAGAGAGAGACAGAGAGAAAGGTCTTTCCTTTTGCCGTTGGTTCACCCTGCAATGGCCGCTGCGGCCGGCGCATCGTGCTGATCCGAAGCCAGGAGCCAGGTGCTTATCCTGGTCTCCCATGGGGTGCAGGGCCCAAGCACTTAGGCCATCCTGCACTGCACTCCCGGGCCACAGCAGAGAGCTGGCCTGGAAGAAGGGCAACCGGGACAGAATCTGGCGCCCCGACCGGGACTAGAACCCAGTGTGCCAGTGCTGCAAGGCGGAGGATTAGCCTAGTGAGCCGCGGCGCTGGCCCGCCTCCTTTCTTATTGCCATGTGAGGAACTGGACACAGCTGGGCAGCGTGGCCAACAGCCACCCTTGCTTTCTGATTCTGGCTGCAAGTCCAGGGGCTGCCAAGACCAAGCTCCACTCCAGCTCTGCACCAGAGGGGCTCACAGGGCTCACTGAGGGCCACTGTCAGTCGTCACGGTTGCTTGCAAGAAAGGAAGCAGATTAAAGTCAGCCAAGGGAAGAGGTGCCCAGAGCAGGGTCCCAGGCTCTTCTCCGTGGTAGCCCAGAAGCACTGCTCTGACGGTGTTGCTGTGCTGTTGTGTGCACAGAGTTGCCAAGTTAGGCTTGCCTGAACCTCCATTCCCACTGGGGCCTCATCCTGAGGGCAGGGTTGATTGATTGACTGCCTGTAGGGTTCCTCTCAGTCTCTAGGGTGACTGATGCTGACGGACCCAGAGCCCTTGCTCTTGGTCACAGTGTTTGTCATCCTGGCATGGTCAGTTACCACACTGAGACTGCAGGTGTAGAGAACTCTTACCCTAAATCACAGTGTGAGACAGTCCAGGCAGACTCAACCCTTACTGTGACCAGCTCCTACACAGATTATCCAGCTGTCTCGAACTCCATCCTGCATCACACTGTTGGACCCTGCAGTGTTACCCAGCATCTCCAGGCAGAGAGAAGCACTGCAGGCCGAGAGCAGAGGCTGGAGCTCTGTGAGCCAAATCCTCTGCTGCACGTTTGCATTGGAAAACTTTGAGATTAACGTTTTCTTTTATGTTAACTGCATCGTCTTATCTCTAAATTTTCAGTTTTAATGAAAGCTTTTCTATTTTCTCATGAAAATAATGTGTAAATAATTTAAAATTTATTGTCTGTGGATAGTTGTTCTCTTGGATACAGATAACAGTACTTCTCAATTGAGCTCTTTGACCCCCACAAAAAACCCTTGTAAGATCACCAACATGTTAGAAAATATGTATGTAATCATTCATTTATGCAATATTTATTCTTTGAATTCCTTTTGCAGTCAGGTTGTGCTTTAAGTAGTTTGTGTGCAGTCATGAGGGAGACTTAATTCTCCCCTCAGGAGCTTGTAGTCTAGTGGGAGAAATGAAAGCCAGACTCTTACGAAGAAAGGGACAGTCACCATGAGAATGTCTGGATTTCAAAGAAGGACAGCCTATGTCTCACGTCAGAGTGTCCAGGGTCAGTACCGGCTGCGGCTCCTGGCTCCAGGTTCCTGCTAATACAGCAGTGACGACCCAGGCAGTTCAGTGCCTGTCACTCGTGGGAGATGCCTGCTTTGGGTCTCAGCGCCCAACATCAGCCAGGCCAGATCTGGCTGTTACAGGCGTTGGAGGAGTGAAGCGGAGTGCGGGAGCTCTGTCTACCTGTCTTGTCATCTGCCTCTCAAATAAATGAGATTTTTGGAAAGACAAAAACGGAGCTAAGAGTTTGCCAGGGAGACCATTGTTAATCATGTAATTCCATAACTCGTTAATCAGAATTAAGATAAGTCGTATGACAAAGTACACGGTGTTATGGTAAAGTGTAACAAGGGGAAGCCCTTAGTCCAGAGGCCAGGGGAGGACTTGCAGGAGGAAAAGATGTGAACTGGTGCTGGCTGCAGGGGCCGAGCTATTTAGGCCGAGACACTTAGGGGTGGGGTTCGAGGCCATTGCAACTGCAGCAACCTGAACTCGATGAGAAGCCAGAGACGGCAGAGAACAGGAGGTGTCTGTGCTCCTGGTAAGGAGACGTTCCTCCCGCAAATCGGTGCAAGTGAGGGGGCAGCAGTGTGTGAGCACTGCTGTTAGACGGGGTCTGGGGAATGGCGCCGGCTGGGCACCAGCACGCGCACGGCTGCAGCCAGGAGAGGGCGGATGAAAGTTTTCATTCTGTTTCGTTTGACATAGTTGATCGTGTCGAGCATGGTATGTTTGTGAAAGATCATTCCGAGTAACAACAGAGAAAGGTGTACTGAATCAAGGGTGCTGGTGTTGGCTAAATCGTACAGTGGCTCCGGTGGCAAATGGTGCTTTGGACAAGGACAGAGGCAGTAGTCACGACCAGGAATGAGTATCTTCAAGAGTTGGCGATGGGAGTGTAAGAAACCGAGAGAAGCAAGAGCTTGGGGATGTCATAGTGCTGCAGTCCCAACTGGCTGGACAGATGCAGCCGGGGGCAGGGGGGCAGGGGGGCAGCTGCTGCTCGGAATCAGGTGTGGTGACTTGCAGAGGTGGGCTGCAAGTCCAATTGATTGAAAAGAAAGGGGTGAAGACAAGGAGAAAGTAAAAACAGGAAGTGAGGTTTGGGAACGGATGCCCTAGGACTCCCAGAAACTGTCTAGGGATTAAGTAGATGAACATGAGGAGAAGGGAAGAGAGAATCAGAGATGGGAGGGCTGGGAGCCAGCCCAGGGTCGGGGCCTGGGAGACACGCAGGTCACTGAGAAACCCACGGCAGAAATGCGCCCGGCAGGGGTTGCCAGAGGGAAGCGTGGCGTGTGAGGCTGCTCGTGGGATTTGCCTCCTTCCTGGGACACCACCCGCCCCACCACCTTTGATTCGTCAGCAGGCCCGCTTTCCCAGGCAGTAATTTGTGTTATTGGGCTTTAGAAGACACCTTTGTTTAGCCGGCGCCGTGGCTCAATAGGCTAATCCTCCACCTTGCGGCGCCGGCACACCGGGTTCTAGTCCCGGTTGGGGCGCCGGATTCTGTCCCGGTTGCCCCTCTTCCAGGCCAGCTCTCTGCTATGGCCAGGGAGTGCAGTGGAGGATGGCCCAGGTGCTTGGGCCCTGCACCCCATGGGAGACCAGGAAAAGCACCTGGCTCTTGGCTCCTGCCAGGATCAGCGCGGTGCGCCGGCTGCAGCGGCGGCCATTGGAGGGTGAACCAGCGGCAAAGGAAGACCTTTCTCTCTCTGTCTCTCTCTCTCACTGTCCACTCTGCCTGTCAAGAAAAAAAAAAAAGAAGACACCTTTGTTAACTTTATTTTTTCATGTTAATGTAATATTATACATTATTATTATACATTATTATTATATTATACATTAATACAAAGAGAACAGATTCAATTAGGAGAAAACGTGTGTGAAAGGATTGCTTCTGGTCTGGAGTTCCTTGGTATGCCAAAATAATAATAATAATAATAATAATAATAATAATAATGATAGCAATAACCAAGAGGAAGTAAGGAAAAGGGCTCCCTCACCCCAGGACTTTGCAGAAATCTGGGAAGTGCTTCAGCCTTTAGCCAGTGTAGACATCGAGAGACGGGATGACCTTGGCTGAAATGGAATGATCTGACCTGAGATCAAAGGACAGGGTCTGGCCATCGAGCAGCTGGTTCTTTATCCAGAGGTCTTAGTAGTTCTGCTGCAGGCCCCTGAACAGTGTGCGCACGTTATGATTGACTGTTCAAGCAAGAACAGCAAACTCCAAGTGTTGCCCAGCGGGGTTTGCCGAGTAGGGAGGGGTGCTAAGGGGGCCTAGGCTGAACACAGACCCACTCACATGGAGTCTTCCAGAACTGAAATTTCAGACGTTTGCAGGCCTCACATTTCACATCCACAGGACTCTGGTCAATTAAATGAATATCAGCCTAATCTGTGAGTCATGACAGCTATGACTGGAATAGTACGTCAGTGTGTTTTTCCTAAGAAGATGAGCATGGACATTAAGGTGTTACACCTGAGTGACCTGGACTAGCTTCCCTGGCTGCTCTTAAGTTTCACTTTCATTGCTAGTAAAAGGGGTACAGCAGGAACTGTCTGGAAAGCCAGTTTTAGAAGAGGATTGAGTGAGACAGTATGCACTTTCAAGCACAGTTCTGGTGCACAGGAGGCATGGAGTAAGTATTATCTGTGTTTGGAAATTATGTCAAGATGGTATCTTCACACATGGCAAAACTTCCCAAAGCCTCCCTCAAAAAATATGTATTGTATTAAATATGTGTCTATACAAGTACTAGAAATAGAGCATTGAAAAAAATCCTCTGAGCTCAGGAAGCTCATAGTTTGTCAACAAAATCCCTGTGAGTAGAATTGTCTGCTTGGCTATGTTTTGCAAACCTTCAGTATGTTTGCAAAGTGAATTATGGCTCACATTGAAATTAGGCTATGAACTCAGCTTTGCAAAACCAAATTAATAATTCTCCCCAGCTGAGTAGCCTCCGTTTATCCACATTGACATTCGCTCTGAGAATGTTAGAGCTTAGCATTTTCCTTGAAAAGATACCAAGGAAATGGTCTCCCCCCTTGATTGTCTCTCCGTGTAGCCCTCTGCTCCTGTCAACACAGACTATTCGAGGCACTGAACCTGAAATGGCCCGTAAGCAATTCGTCCAGACAGTGTTTCAGCTGAGAAAGTGAAGCTGAGTGCGTAGGGAACCTGAGCAAGGACGCGCAGTTGGCACACCTAGAACAGGACGCGCAGTTGGCACACCTAGAACGCGTTCCTGCTTACTTCGCGAGGCTGCGTGCACCCTACATGCCCTCACCACATGTCTGCTGTTTTTGCTGACAGCTGGATAACAACGGGGAGCTGCTCATCCGGAACGCACAGCTGAAACACGCGGGAAGGTACACATGCACGGCCCAGACCATCGTGGACAATTCCTCGGCCTCCGCGGACCTTGTTGTGCGAGGTGAGAGCATCCACGTTGTTAGCAAAACCACAGATAGTGCGGGAATGTTCTGGACTACCCGTGTGTTCAAATCTTACACATTCAGAGTACATGCCCCGTGTTTAAGGATGCGACGTAAGCTGTCCACCCAGTCCTAAGAAGGGTTTATCCCAGACGAGCAGTGAACAGCACCGGTTTTGTTTCACTAACTCTGTGCCTCCTAGAAAGTTACGCCACCTGCCCCCTACTAGATGCCTGTGCTGTGACACGTGGTGCTTACCGGACGTCCCTGCTTCCTGTGAGTTCTTTCCCAGTGTGTGGAGGCTGGTGCTCTTTCCCTTTGTTTTTCGGAGGGAAATACACTGTTGGTGTTTGCTGTCGCCTTAAGGGTTCTGTACTGACGACTGTTGTCCTAGATGTGAAGCTAATTCGTACCTGTGTCACGTTGCTGTTGGTGTCTGTGCTCTGTAAAGGGCTTGAGAATCGGATGTGACGTTCATGGGCAGTGCAGCCCCTTTGCTGTTGGGCGTGGCTGCTTGGAACAGGCCACGGTTTGTTTAAATCAGTGATGAGCCCTTCACTCGTGACCCGCAGACTGAAGGCCATCCCCTGTCTCATAGCAGCCCCAGAGGTTATCATGTTGACCTCAGCCATTCATCGGTAAAGTCTCACCAGTCTGGCAGGGGTGGGGAGCCCTGTTTCTGCCAAGGGCTGTTTGGATATTTCTGACATCGTTCATGGGCCGTACAAAATTATCAACGTAAACATCAGCCTGCTGTAGACTTCCTGAATTTGAGTCTCATCCATGGTTGTGTTGGCAGGGCCAGGCCCACCCAGTGTTTCCCAAGCCTCATTTGGCCCACTGGCTGGGCAGTCCCCACCCCTGCAGCAGTCCCTACTGTCCCACTTATCCAAAAAAGTACCCTGGTGCTGCACACCTAGCTTCACAGTGCTCCGTCGGGTGCTGTCCACACTGTGGCTCGGATCTGACCCAGCCTTCGAGACGTGGCTCACGTAGCACAAACCCACGAATCCTTCTCTGGTGCTCCACATGTGAGTTCCCGGCTTCTGGCCCGTCACAGCAGTGGCTGCCTTCTTTGATGGGCTTTATGGCAGTCGGGTTATCTCTGCCGAGTTGTAATTCAGCTGGACTGCGTATCACTCATGTGCAGGGGTGGAAGAGTCCCTTTGTCCCTTTGCATAGCTTCCCAGCTGTTTGTCTCAAAATCACGGAGAAGGTTCTGTTCCACATTTCACCTGCCATTTTATTGGCCATTATTACACATTGTGCTGTCACTGATTAGTAAGTAAATGGTGTCTGGAGTGTACCTGTCACATGGCCCATCCCAGGTCTGGGTCAGTGACTACACCTGTATTGCCCACTGGAGCAGCGGGGGGCGGAGCTTGAGAGATTTCTACTCCAGGTGAACCTGTTCTCCAATACAGCAAAGTCTGGCTGAAGTTTCTTTAACCAGGTGAACTCAGATATTCATTCCACAACCCACCTACTGAAAATTAAAAGTAAAACCCTGAGGCTGCAAAACCCTGTATAAAAAAAAAGTTCTTTTAGGTTCAATATTTCCATTTAGAGTATTTTTTAAACTTGGGGCATCAGTTGTTTTCAGGAGTTACCTGGGGAAGGGCGAGTTCACTGTTCTTTCTGCTCAGACTGATAGCTGTTAGGCCATTTCCACCAAGAGATTGAATGTAGATTGAATTGAAATTACCTGCACATTAAAATGAATTAGCATTAATATTACGGTAGTGGCTGTGCTACATGCTAGAGAATGGGTGTCTCCATATGATGACATTGTGGTGAAGTTGTTATCATAACACCTGCAGATGTTTTGAGATACGCAGGGGAAAGAGGGAAATTCTACATTTGAGTGCCAGACCAGCAGTGATATCGTCACATGTAATTATGTAGTTAATAATCAGCCCAGTACGTAGTTTTTATACAGGCAAAGCTAATAACAAGCAGCTGTACCCCCCATTATGTAGAAATAAAGTCTTTTTGTCTCTCAGTACTTTGGATCCCAGGAAAATGCCTGAAGGCAGTGGAACCTGGCAGGTGCACGCAGTAGACAGAACGCACGTCCGTGCACAGCAGCAGGGCGTCAGTAAGGCTGCAGAAGAAAGTGAAAAGCATTGCCCGCTTCGTCATCACTCTGCAAACCTTGCTTCTCTAGGAGAAAAGTATTAATTTTGTACTAAGATAAAATTACAATGAAAATAGACAGTATCGCGACAGAGCTTGTGTTGAAGAGATGTAAAAGGTGGACTTGCTCAGATGCTGTAGTGGTTGGAGTCCGAGGATACATGAATGAAAGCGCTTGCTTTATGCCTTCTAAGAATGAGGAGGAGTAGGTAAGGCATACCTCGCGTGAAGTAATAGCATCATCAGCGTGCTTATCCACGTGGGACCCTCCTGCATCTGTCTGCAACTCACAGCCCAGAGTCGTAGACAGACTCCAACCTTCCAGGGCCCTCCTGAAGCTGCGTATAGAATTCTGGGGACATGAGCATTTTCCTGGGAAAAGGATTTAGGATTGTCATCAGATTCCTTGCACCAACAACAGCCCAAAATGAATTAAGAAGCCTAATCTTTTTTTACTCCCAATCTAGATCAAGAATCTGGAAAGAAAGTCAAGGGGTGATTATTTATCTCATGTAGAAGCATTTTTTTAAAAAGCTAAAACATTCCTTGTGGTGAGATGAACCTGCACACTTGGGCTGCAAGTTGCTTCTGAAAGATTGACTCTTCAAGAACCTGCGTGTTTCCCAAAACATGCTAACCTCGTCGCAGGAGCCCCCTCTCTAGGGTTCTGCTTTCTGTGGCTCCAGTCACCTGTGGTTAGCAGTGAAATCATTACATGGAAGATTCCAGACATACAGAGCCCATCAACTTTAGCTGTGTCGTGGTCCGAGTCAGCGTGATGGGACTTTGTGCCGAGTCACTCCATCGCCCTGGCGACGCGAATCGTCCCTTTCTCCTGTGTGTCTGCCTGTGGTGTGCGCTGCCTGCCCGTTTGTTACCACTTAGTAGCCATCTGGAGGATCAGATCAGCTGTCTTGGAATCTCAGTGCTGGCTATCATGTAACCCTCTTTGTTCTGCAAAAGGGCCTCAAAGCATGAAATTTTATTACAGTGTTTTATAACGTGTTCCATTTAATGATTAGTTTTGGTACATCTTTTACTGCGTATAATTTATAAGTTAAACTTTTTCATAGAGAGGATTGTATAGGAGAAAAACGTTATCTATATCTCTGTGTATCTCTCTCTCTATATATATATATAATATATATATGTATCTGTAAGACAGTGCACCACATTAGCTATGTGTAAGAGCTTTGCAGATTTGAGATACATTAATCCTTACTCATGTTCATATATCAATGGCCTGAACTGCAGATGTTTAAAATTAATGCCGTGACAAGGACAGTGAACAGAATAGATGGGACAACACTAAGAAAAATTTTGATAACAAAGATAGCGTATTGCATTTTATGCCCCAGAAGAAGATTAAACAAAAATAGAAATATTCACACAGAATTAAGATGTGGATTTCTTCTAGCCTGTGTTGCCTTTAAGGAAATGAATACTTAGTAAAAGCTGTAGCTGCTCTCCACAGCTAGTCTGTGTGTGTGTGCACACGTGTGTGCATTTGTGATTGTGAGTGGGAGACGCTTGATGAAGGAAATTTGAATGGGAGAAAAGAAGTGTGATTCAGGCTTAGGCTTTTGTTCCTGTTTGTGGTTAGTCTTTCTTCCACTGAAACTGTGGGCCAGGGTGGTGCTGACCGTGGTTTGGAGGGGTCGAGTTGTGCAGCAGTGGATGACTGTAACAACCGCGGGATGGTGTCTGTGTTACACTGAATGCGATCTTCCCGCCGCCAGCTGAGAAGTGTGAAGTTTATACCGAGAAAATGAAGTTAGGTTCAGACCAACCGAGAGAGCTTCTCCCACACGAGGTCCTGGCTTTTGAAAAGGAGCTCAAGAGTAAGTGTCACAAAAGGAGAGAACAGCTCCGGGTCAGCACACGGAGATCGCAGGACTCGGGGTAGGGAAGCAGTGAGCACGTGTGGGTGAGCCTGAGCTCCCCGGTCCGTCCGGGCCGCTGTAACTCCCGGGCACCGGCTGTGTGTTTCTCAGAGTTCTGGCTGCTGAGAATCCCAAGCTCACGGAGCCAGAGGGTTGGAGGCTGGCGAGGGCTCACGTCCTGGTCCTGAGACTTCACTGTCCCCAAGTAGCAGAAGGGGCCACTCGGCCACTCGGCCACTGGACTCTTGTTAAGGGTGCTGCCGACAGAACCCTGGGATCTCAGCACCCCCAGGGCCCCTCCTAACACTCGGGAGACCCAGGCGTGCAGACCAGAGCACGCGCCAGAGGCAGAGCGGGCTGTGGCCCAAGTTCAGAGCCTGGTGAGGTGAGCTGTCCTGGGTCCAGCCTGCTAGTTGCTTCATACACATTTTAATTTAATGGAATAGAGTCCCAAAGTCACCTGCCGCCCTGCACTTCCTCGCCAACAGCCTCTCAGCAAACATACATGCAAACTCTCCATGTAAGCTCTGGGTGTTCCTAGACATGGCTGTGCGTCAGATCTGCCAGAAGGGTTCATGTAAACACACAGAACCAGGCCCCTCCTGGCTCTTCCTGAGTCACTAGCCCTGTGATGGGTTTAGCAAAACCAGATTAAAGATGGTCCCGGTGAACTCTGCATCAGCACCACCCACAGGCATTGGCCAACGCAAATACACTCAACTGATTCTCCGATTAGCAAGCAAAATCGCTTTGATGGCGGGAAACTCACCTTGCAACACTTGGGGCATTCTTAGGCAAAATAGGAAAAAATGATTTTTAAAAAAACGAACCCCATCCTAAAGTTTCACCTAAACCTCAAACTTTACACAAAACGACTCAAAACACATTATGGACTTAAATATAAAATGTAAAACCATGAAACTTTTAGGAAGCTAGGAAACAGTGTGGGTGAAAGTCTTCAAACACGGGAATAGTTGAAG